TCATTCCAAATTCATGGGGTTTCCAAAGAATTTTCATGGTGCTTGCATATTCCTAACAACCCCATGAAAACTAACTGGCAATTAACTTTCATGTGCCATGAAAATACCATGGAGAGGCCATGAAAATTCAAGGAAAATTTTCATGGTCAATTTATTTTTTTTCATATTCACAGGATATTCATGGGTCATGATTTGCTACAACCCATTAAAAACTAGTGAACTTTGACACCATGAAAATGTTTGAATTTGAAATTCATGGGTTTCTCAGTACCTTTGAAAAGGCCATGAAATGCCCTTTTCATGGGTCTTTCATGGCTTCTAGGTCACTTTACTCAATATTTCATGGGTCATGAATATGAAAATCTTAACAGGTTTTTCATGGGATTTATCAGGTCTTTTTCATGGCACTGAGACCATGAAAATATCGTTGATTTAACCATGAAAAACCTGTGAAAAATATGTGAATTTACAATGAATTATTTCACAAGATTTTCATAGGTTTTGATTTCATAGTGAGACAACTATGAGGAGCCAGATTTCAATGGCAAATCTTAAGACTGTACTAAGGAAGTGTTACAGGAACTAATTCAGCAAGATGAGTCAGATAATGAGAAAGAGGGGCATGCGTTTAACTGAAATTAAAGCCGGCCTGCTCATATGTAAACTCCTAGCAGACGGAAAGTTTAAATAAAGGATTTTATAAAGGTCTCTAATTTTCATGTCTTTAATTTTTGCAGCACCTTTTTTTAGCGGGACTTTAATTATATGTGAATTTTTCAAAGTGACAATAAGGTAACTGGTACCACAGTTTTTTCCTTGAATGACAAGAGTGTGTTTCATCTGCTAACCATGTTTGTACTTGGCAGGCTGTCAACGGGGGAACAATTCAAATGAAATGTGAAATGTGACAAAAAACAGGGAAGGAGAACTGATTTGTCAATCAAACGTCACAAACAGTTCGTGTTCGGCTCGACTCTCACGTGAGAAAACTGCGAAAATGGCGGGTCAAAGTTACTTTGGTGTTTTGGAGGTCTATACGTGGCTTTCGTCAATGTCGCATGGATTAAACCTCGAAAGGCTAGCCCCAGAGTTTGAGAGGAGAGGCTTTCAGAGTATGCATTCGCTAAAATATATCGGGCAGAATGATCTGGAAGTCATAATAAATTATCCAGACAAGTTGTTGCTGGCAGAGAAGAATTCTCGAGAAAGAGCTAGAGGAGATAAAGAAGCCGTCTCTACAGCCCAAGGAACCTTTTTCCATCTCCTTACACTGGGTCTCTGCAAGTTGTTAGCCCTATTAACTCTCCTGTGCTCGTCAGCACGACCAGCTCAGGCCCGGCTTCAAGCTCATCCAACATGCCTGTAAGTGGAACCATGTATCAACAAAGCGCGGTTAACAAAAGCAACGAGCAGTCAACAACCTATCGTGAGAAGAAAAGCGGCGAACTAACGGAAAATCTCTCTATAATACAAACACAGATCAAAAGTGTTACTGACCAGCTTAAAATTGTTCATAATCAGTATGAACAAGCATTGAGCAAAGCTAACAGACGGAGAGCGGGAAAACTTTGCACCCGATGTCATCAGCCGGACCACTACAAAGCTCGCTGTTCAAGCCCTACTTGTATGGACATGAACAATTGTGGCGCGAGCGAGAAACACCCAGAAAGCAAAAATGAGATCACCGAACTACGAAAGCTTATCAAAGATTTGCAGAAGAAAGAAGCTGAAGCATCAGAAGAGCTTCAGTCATTCAAGCTTGCCAAGGAACGCTCAGTCAATAGCTTTTTTGCAGTTATGCGTCCCCGACTGAGGCGGCAAAACGAAGGCCGTTATGTCAACAGGTTTTCTTTAGATAAAGACTTGATACTCTTGAAGAAAATTTTCAAAAATAAGATTCCAATTGATACCTCGCGAGATTGGGAAATGCCGTTCCTTATTGAGTGTTACAGGAGAGGTCTTCCGAGCGTAGACAGCATGTGAATTGTTACGCATAACTGTTTACCGTTACATGGAACTAACTGGCGAATTCACATTGATTTGATCGAAGTTCTTGGAAAAATGTACTGTTGCGTTGTACGACATGAAAGAAATAAATGTTGTTTTGAATTTTCTTGTGCTGCTTACCCGTACTTTGTGAGAAGTCTATTGTTCCATCTCCCCAACGCTACTGGTCAATTTGCGAAAAATTTTCCGGGGTGGCCTTGGTTGGAGTAGTCGTACCTTAAACTAGTTCAGTTATATCAACAAATCAAACCATCTGGTATTGTATGAGTACAATTTTAACACTCAGATGTAGGCCAAAAAACAAGGAATGAAAAAAGGCATTGGTATGTACCAGGAATTGAACACACATGGACCCCAATAACCCCTGTGACTCGGAGTTTGTGATAGGTAGGAACAAAACAGCACAAGTTGCTAGAAAAAAGTTTCCATTGCGTCCTGCAGCAGCAAAAACGACTCACAGTTCACAAGGTGATAATAAAACTAGAATTGTTGTGAATTTTAGTACCAGAAAGATTATTCCACACATACATTATGTGGGGCTCCGCAGGGTGACTGCTATAGAACGCCTATATATTTCTGATTTGTGTGAAAGCAAGATTGTTGTTAATCCAGATATTAAGAAGGAAATGAAGAGACTACGAACTGCAAAACTTAAGCTTTGCATCTCCCCTCTCTATGACATAACACCATCCCTTCTTAAACTGTGTTATCTTAGTGCAAGGTCTCTTCACAAACACATAGAAGACATACATAAAGATTTAAATTATTCAAGTGCTGATATCAATATGTTCACAGAAACAAAATTAAGTTCTCAAGATAACAATGACATGTATGACATTGCTGGTTATGCTCTCTTTCAAAATGATAACCTTAATTCCAGCAATGGATCAAGGCCTTATGGTGGTGCAGCTGTGAACAGTAAAATTCCATTCTTACCTGGATACCCCTATTGTCACAATATACATAATGTTGAAATAACAGCAATCAAGTTGACCAGTTTACTCTTTACTCTAAATTGGCTTCTTAAAACAGACAGAAGACCTATGTATAATCTTCTAATGAGGGATAAACATTACAAACAACTCATATCAACTAATACAACTGACAACAACACAGTAATTGATCATATGTATGCAAATATATCTAACATTGATGTACAAGCCCATGTTTTAGACATATTTCATAGATCACAAAGCTGCTTAGGCCTCATTTCACAGTGTCATATAACAAAATATTATATCATAATGTACATTGTTTTTAAGTTAAGAGAGCAATAAAAGAAAGCGGTAAATCATTATAAAAAGTGTTGTTTCCTTTTTTTCAGAGGAATTTGCAATGAGACACCTCCAAAACTATTAATAAAGAGATGCTGCTTATTTATTTGGTACCAGAACAGCTCTTTTAAAATTATGTTTGAAGTCATCTTTCTAAGATTTGTCCAGTTTAAGAGCCATTTTGAAAAGAAAAAAAATAACCTACCTAACACAGTCTTGTAATTTCAAGGCAGCTCCTTTTGCATTTTGGTCAATTTCTAACTGCAACCTTTATTGACAATCCTGCATTAAACAAATATTCCACAGGGAAGTCTGCAACCCCTTCCCCACCCCTCCTTTCCACTCAACCCTTTTTCTTGCCCTACCTTCCATTTGATATTTTACAGTAACAAATTAAGCATTCTTGATTTCATCAGCTGCTTTCTGCTTTCAACTACTTTGTTCTCTGAAAATAATAACTCTCCGAAACTTTCACTGTCAGTAATTTTTTGTCCTTTTCCTCTTTTGAAACAGGTAAAGCAGTTTACCATGTATTGCAGACCTATTCCAGCCCACAGAGTCCATAGTTGATGGTTGCGATTTCTGACATATATCAAAATCTATCAATTTCATAGCTGTACCAGACTTACTTGGCCAATCTGAAAACAGTATTTTCAATCCTCCAAATGAGTATAAAAAGGATGAAAACACTATTTTTATCAACTCAATCAGATCAGGAAGTCAACCAATAGACCTGCAAGGGTTATGGAGCAGAACACAGCAAAAATACAGTTGTGAACAGCTGTCAACCCAGTGGGCCATCCAAGCATCTGTGGCGCAGTAAACAAACTGTCAGGTAGCAAATCCATCTTCCGTGTTTGCCCAAGATACAAGTAAAACCACCAGTGGCATGTAACAGCCAAGCACCTTAGATTTCAGATTTTCCTTGGCTAGTGATGCAAGTCGCACCAGTGGTAGCAAAGAACATCCAAGTGCATTGGATTTATCACTGTCTTCAATGGGTGACTCCAGCTCCATGGAAAAAGAAGTCAGGCAGACAAGTTGCATTTCACAGCAGCCACAGTGTTCCAAAAAAGAAGAGTGAACCATTTCAAGGCACCAATGATGCTGTTATTGCTTACATTCATCAGTTATTGCCGTCAAAAAGGAACAAGAAAGATACAGTGTTCTACTCTACTCTGTTGTAAACCAGCAAAAAAGGATCTCAAGGTGTGCTGCTTTATTCCAGAAGTCTCACACTCCAGTGAAAACACAGCAATTCAAGCACACAAGTGATGGCACTAAACTTATCATCCATAACTTAACTAAGTATTCCTTCCAGTATTCTGAGGACACAATGGCTACATTGCTAATCCTCTCAGTTGCAAAAATTTTTAATTCTTTCAGTGACTGGAATAAAGTAATCATTTATGGAAAGATTGTTTACATGTGCGATCAAGAACTTGTTTGTCAAAACAAACTGAGATTGGTACAAGCCACCTTCACAGATGTTACGTGACTAATGTATGCTCGCTTAATTATGTCAGATATGCTAATGTATTCGTTAGAAGTCACATGATCTTGTGTACATGCCATTCGACTAGAGTGCAATAAAAGATTTGAGCACGAAACATGGTGGCAGCGTGAAAGCTCGTCAAACCTTTACACCGTTTGAGTTCGAGCGCAGAAAAGAACCCTGAATCCGTTCAGTACGCAGAAACGAATCTTGAAACCGTACAGATGCCTGATCCACCGCCGTCTTCGAGTGGAAACCCCTCACAGCAAATTTTCCCGCCGCCGATGATGCAGGGCATACAACCGCCCACTGGCTTAAAACTGTCGGCGAAAGACAAGGCCGTAAACTGGAAAGTTTATAAACAGAAATGGGAGAACTACTCTATCTTAGCACAGCTCGACAAGCAGACGGAGGAATACAGAGTGGCATTATTCCTTTACACAGTAGGACCCGACGCGGTCAAGATTTACAACAGCTTTGACCTCAGTGACGAAAACCGATGCAAGCTGTCCGAGATAATCAAGTAATTTGACAATTTTGCGATCGGTGAGACGAACGAAACGTACGAGCGTTACGTCTTCAACAGCCGCGATCAAAAGGAAGGAGAATCCATAGATGACTACGTAGGAGAACTTCGGACACTTGCACAAACATGCAATTTCCGCACGTGTTTACACAACACACTCATCCGCGACCGAATCGTACTTGGCCTAGGTGATGGAGGAACGCGCAAACGCCTATTGAGTCAAGGCAAACTAACTTTCCAAAAGTGCATCGAGATCGCGAAAAGCGACGAAGTCTCGAACACACAGCTTAAGAATATGGATCAGACTACACAGGAACCTGAAGATGTCCATAAGGTGAAGATGGAGAGACCGAAGAAACCAGAGCGCAAATACCCGAAGCAAACGGGCCGAGATAATCGGAACCGGAAACCCAACGATGACAACACAAGCGACAGGCCATGTGATTTCTGTGGGCGAAAACATCGTAAAGGCAGAACCAATTGCGCCGCTTGGGGCCGTATTTGTGGAGCATGTGGAAAAAAAAACCACTTCGCGTCCCAGTGCAGAGCAAGAGAGAAAACACACAATGTTGAATTTGAAGAAGACGAAACCAGCGAGGAAGAATTCCTGTATTGCGTGACCTCGAAACCAGAGATGACAGGAACTGTCAACAGCGTCTCGGAACGTGAAATATACGCACAGATGCTTATCAACGAGAAGCCCATTAAGTTCCATATCGACTGCGGTGCAACCGTAAATGTTTTGCCAAGTAAATACGTCAACAAAGAAGATATCCAGCCAACGAAACGTGTTTTGCAGATGTGGAATAAGACTGAACTTAAACCTGAAGGAATCTGCCGCGTGACCATACGCAATCCTAGGAATCAAAAGAAGTACTCCGTAGAGTTCATCATCGTCAAGGAGAATCTCACCCCACTGCTAGGCGCAGCAGTGATACAGCAGATGGGACTTATTGAAGTACACGAAGAGAATTGCGAGAAAATCGCTGCAGCGAGAGTGGCAAATACTAAGTCCCAGACAGCACAAGAAATCATTGAAGAATACCGTGACGTATTTGAGGGCGACTTGGGGACACTTGAAGGACTGCAGCACCTTGACGTTGACCCTTCTGTGCCTCCCACCATTGCACCATCGCGACGAGTGCCATTCGTCATTAAACCGAAGCTCAAAACTGAGCTTGATAGACTGACAGACATTGGTGTACTGGTGCCTGTTGATGAGCCCACCGACTGGGTGAGCAACCTTGTCATTGCAGCAAAGGAATCGGGTGATCTGAGACTTTGCTTAGACCCGCAGCAACTGAATAAAGCACTGAAGAGAGAGAGATACCCCCTGCCTGTGATAGATGATGTACTCCCAAGCCTTGCACGAGCAAAAGTTTTCACGAAAATAGATGCCAGAAACGGCTACTGGCATGTAAAACTGGATGACGAGTCGAGCAGGCTGACGACTTTTGACACTCCCTACGGCAGGTACCGGTGGAAACGCCTTCCATTTGGAGTCAGTGTGGCCAGTGAGATATTCCAGAAGAGGCTGAACCAAGCACTTGACCGACTAGATGGCCTGCTGACAGTACACGATGACATGGTCATCTATGGAGTAGGGGAGACAGATGAGGAGGCAACCGCTGACCACAACAACAAGCTGCAGCAGTTCTTACAGTGGTGCACAGAGCAAGGAGTAAAGCTCAACAAGAAGAAACTCAAGCTGCTATGTAAAGAGATACCCTACATGGGACACTTGGTCACAGCAGATGGCCTGAGACCTGACCTAGAAAAGATTGAGGTCGTACACAACATGCCCAAGCCAGACAATGTCAAAGCTGTCAGGCGATTCTGCGGGTTCGTGAACTATCTTGCAAAATTTCTGCCACGGATGGCAGAGGTGCTAGGACCCATACAGCAGTTGACACGTAAAGATGTACCATGGCAATGGCAACATGAACAGGAGGCAGCCTTTGAGAAGGTCAAAGAGCTTCTGACAGAGGCACCCTTGTTGAAGTATTACAACCCTGGTGAGGAACTCACAGTGCAATGCAACGCAAGTGAAAAGGGACTTGGGGCTGCCCTCATGCAGAATGGGCAACCCATAGCCTTTGCAAGCCGTGCCATGACAGACCCAGAAATACGTTATGCACAGATTGAAAAGGAGATGCTGGCAGTAGTATTTGCGCTACAGAAATTTGACCAGTACGTCTACGGTCGCTCAGTGACAGTTCAGAGTGATCATAAGCCGCTAGCCGCCATCTCCAACAAGCCACCCGAAGCGCACCCAAGAGATTACAAGGGATGCTGTTGAAGATTCAGAAGTATGACATGACCATTGTCTACAAACCAGGTCCAGAGATGTACCTCGCAGACACCCTCAGCAGGGCATTTCTTCCCACCACTGAGAATACCCAAGGGGAATTCAAACGTGTAAACGCAGTCAAACTACTGCCAATGACTGATGAAAGACTGGAGGAGATTAGGAGCAGCACCCGTGACGATGACATGTTGCAGCAATTAAAGGAAGTCATCCAGATTGGTTGGCCAGAGGAAAAGCAAGAACTTCCAGCAGTACTTGCACCCTACTTCAGCTTCAGGGACGAGATGAGCGTCTATGACGGTCTTATCTTCAAAGGAGAGCGACTCCTCATCCCGAAACAGATGCCGCCAAAGATGAAAGAATGCCTTCACAGCTCACACATCGGCGTCAATGGCTGTTTGAGGAGAGCTAGAGAGTGCATGTACTGGCCCAGCATGACCGCCAAGCTAAAGGAGTACATCTCACAATGCGAGACGTGTAGCAAATATGAGGTGAGGCAGCAGAGAGAGTCCTTGATGAGCCATGAAATTGCAGAACGCCCATGGGAGAAGATTGGTACAGATTTGTACACCATCAGTGGCCAGGACTACTGTAGTATACAAGGAAAGCGGTTGTTTATGTAAAAGTATACATCCGGGAAAGTGTGAGCGCGGGAAGATTATTAAAAGAAACGTGTACTGTGTGTACTGTTGTTGTTCGCCTTCGTGGCTGCCTTTTGTGGCATACTTCTTCATTTTTAGACACTACAAATTGGCGACGAGGATGGCGAATTCAGTAGAAAGGGCGCTTCCACCTCTAGATTTAACAGGGTCTTCCTCTCAGGTCGCGGAACGATGGCGACAGTGGAAACGATCGTATCAGTATTACATCGATGGCAAGGGAATTACGAATCCTTCTCGGAAAACAGCTCAGTTACTTCATTTAGCAGGTATGGAAGTACAAGATATTTACGAAGATATTCCAGATCCTGGACCACTGAATGCTAACGAGGATAATGAGTATGTGGTGTGTCTGCGAAAGTTGGATGCTCATTTCCGAGCCGAGGACAATGTACCGTACGAGCGTCATGTCTTTCGTCAACTTACGCCGACAAAGGGAGAGACCGCCGATAAGTTCATGGTTCGTTTACGTGAACAAGCTCGTCATTGTAATTTTGGTCCAACTTTGGAAGAAAATTTACGGGATCAATTGATTGAAAAGTTGCCTAATGTTGAGCTAAAGAAGAAGCTATTGGAAGTCGTTAATATTACTCTGCAAGCAGCAATGGATAAAGTTCGAAAGTGGGAAGCCTCACACGAGGAGGCAGGTCAAATGGTCATGCCAAGCCAAGAACCTGGAGCAGGTACTCATGCAGTTGAAGAACGTCCTGGGCGTGGAGACAAAGGGAAAAGCGTTTGTTTCAACTGTGGTAAAGAAGGTCATTTTGCCCAAAGTACAAATTGTCCCGCCCGAGGTCGCAAGTGCAGCAAGTGTGGTAAATATGGTCATTATGCCAGCTGTTGCAAAGGGGGAAGGAACTCGAAGCCTGGAAAACAAGGTAACAACCAACAACGGGGAGGCAGACAGCAGCGTCATGGCAAGGGGAGACAGGCAAATCATGTTGAGGGTCATTGTAACGAGTCAGGTGAGGATGACAGTTTTGCTTTTACTATAGAAGAACAGACATGTGCTATGTCAAATTCCTCTGAACCCGTTATCTCAGTGAAGATTGGTGGAATCAGCAGAGATGTGTTGATTGATTCAGGTTCTGCAAGTAACCTCATTAGTAAAGATACACTGCAGGAACTTAAGTATCAGGGGCTCAAGATTGAATTAAAACCTTGTCTGAAGAGATTGTATGCTTATGGGGGTCGAGAGCTTAAAATTGAGGGCCAGTTTCAGACAGAAGTTTCCGTACCCAAAGGAAAGGTTGTGGCAGATTTCATTGTTGTTGAATCCGGGCGTTGTTTGCTGGGATATTCGTCCGCCACAGATCTTGGAATCCTTCGTGTGGATCTCTCGGGAACTCTTGGGACAGGAGACTGTAACACTGTTGATGGTACCTTCGTGGGAGGACTCAAAGCAAAATACCCCAGTGTATTCCAAGGAATTGGAAAGCTTAAAGATTATCAGTTGAAGCTACACATTGACCCCAGTGTAACTCCAGTCGTTCAAAAAATGCGACGAGTACCTTTTTCTGTAAAAGACAAAGTAACTGCCAAGGTTAACGAACTCCTTGAAAAGGACATAATTGAGAAAGTCGAGGGGCCTACGGTGTGGGTAAGCCCAGTCGTTGTTGCTCCTAAACCGTCCGGGGACATAAGGTTGTGTGTCGACATGCGGAGAGCCAACGAGGCCATTATTCGGGAAAGATTGCCCATACCAACCATAGATGAAGTCCTTGAAAGTCTTAATGGGAGTGGTGTTTTCTCGAAGTTAGATTTAAGGTGGGGTTTTCACCAAATTGAGCTGGATCCTGATTCAAGGGATATCACTGCTTTTGCCACCCATGATGGTATATTCCGCTACAAACGTTTGAGTTTCGGTGTAAATGCCGCACCAGAGAAGTACCAGCATATCATCACCCAGTCAATGGCAGGTCTACAAGGGGTGTCAAACATAGCAGATGATCTTATCGTTCATGGTCGAGACACTGAAGAACATGATAAGAACTTACACAGTGTGTTGCAACGTCTTAGTGAGAAGCAGCTGACTTTGAATGCTGAAAAATGCACTTTCCGAATGACTAAAGTGGTATTCATGGATCTTTTGCTGAGTAAGCATGGCATCGGCCCAACGGAGGAAAAAGTCAGAGCAGTTGCAGAGGCAAGTCAGCCTCAGACACCCTCAGAAGTCCGTAGCTTCTTGGGGCTCGTTGGATTCAGTGCCAGGTTTATACCCGATTTTGCTACCACTGCTGATCCCCTCAGAAAACTTGCAAGAAAAGGGGAACTGTTCGTTTGGGGCAAGGAGCAGGAGCAGTCGTTTCAGAGATTGAAGAGTCAAGTTGCAAGTGCACCAGTCCTAGCTTACTTCAATAAGGACACACCCACCCGTGTTATTGCTGATGCAAGTCCTGTTGGACTTGGCGCCGTGCTGGTGCAAGAAAAGAATGGGGAAAGCCGTGCCATCTGTTATGCTAGTCGTAGTTTGAGTCAAGTGGAGCGTCGTTATAGTCAGACAGAAAAGGAAGCACTAGCCTTAGTCTGGGCTTGTGAACGCTTCCACCTCTACTTGTACGGGCTTCCACAGTTTGATCTGGTGACAGACCATGAAGCACTTAAAGTCATCTATTCCAGGAAGTCTAAACCTTCAGCCAGAATAGAGCGCTGGGTTCTGCGTTTACAACCGTACAACTATCAAGTTTTGTGCCTTCAAGAAAAAACATCGCAGATGCCCTTTCCCGACTGACGAAGATACCGGCGTCAGACAATTCCGCGGAAGATGATGGATATGTACGCGCGATAGCTCTACATGCTGTCCCCGCTGCATTAAGAATCAAAGAGATTGAACAAGTCTCAGCACAAGACTCTGAGTTGCAAGCACTCAGAAATTGTCTCATCGAAGGGAAATGGGACAATGCCCCAAAGCAGTATTTGCCAGTGCGCAATGAGTTGACTTTTATTGGCCATGTAATTCTCCGGGGGACAAGAATTGTTATACCCCAAGCACTTCGCAAGAGAGTCGTTAGTGTGGCACACGAGGGGCACCAAGGAGTCACAAAGACAAAGGAGAGACTTAGAACAAAAGTCTGGTGGCCTGCTATGGATCGTGATGCCGAGAAAAGATGTGCAGAGTGTTACGGGTGCCAGATGGTTACAAAGAACGTTCCACCCCCACCATTGAAGTCAACACCGTTACCCAACAAACCATGGGAAGAAGTAGCTGTGGATCTAATGGGTCCGTTACCTTCTGGAGAACACTTGTTAGTTCTCGTTGATTATTACAGCCGGTGGATAGAAGTTGATGTTATCCGAACAACTTCCAGCAAAACCATCATTCATTGCTTGGATGCCCAATTTGCAAGACATGGGTTGCCTAAAGGTCTGCGTACCGACAATGGTTCAAATCTTGTATCCAAAGAAGTAGAAGATTACCTGAATGAAATGGGGATTGAACACCGTTACACAACACCTCTATGGCCAAGAGCTAATGGCGAGGTAGAGAGGCAAAACAGGTCGCTTCTTAAGTCCATGAGAGCAGCCCATGCAGAAGGACAGAATTGGAGAGAGGAACTAAACAGGTTTCTTTTGGCGTACAGGTCCACGCCACATTCAACCACAGGAAAGAGTCCCGCCGAGTTATTGTTTAGGAGAAAGCTAACAACTAAAATGCCTGAGCTAGTCAACGTTGAAGAGGAGGAGCTAAAAGTGAGCGACCAAGCCGTTCGTGATCGGGACAATCAGAGAAAGCAGTTTAACAAGGACTATGTGGACAAGAAGTTCCATGCCAGAGATCGAAATGTGAAAGAAGGAGACAGTGTTCTGCTTGAGAAGAAGAAAGAAAATAAGCTGTCACCTTGCTATGAGAAGGAACCATATCAGGTGATATCTCGTTCGTTGCGATCGCCTCAAGGTGTCCAGTACAAACGCAGCCTTCAGCATATTAAGTCCTTTAATATGCCAGATCCAGAAGAACAGGAAACGCCACAACAGGACGCTAAACCACGGACTGAACCTAAGTCATTTGAGACGCCACCTGTGGCAGAGGATCAAGTACCAATGGCTGAATCACCACCAGAAGATGTACCTTCTACTGTACCTACAGCTGAGCCGCATGTGAGAAGATCCGGCAGAATTACGAGCCGTCCAAAGGCTCTGAGTGACTACATTCTGTACTAAAACTAGTGACATTGGCATTTTCATATTACTGTTCGTTGTTATTACATGAGTGACATTGAAACGTTGTTTTATAAGCTGGACGGCCAAGGCTATGTTTATGTTTAGCGTGATTTTTGTCTTGAACATTTGGAATCGAATTGAACTTTTACGGTATCTAAACAAAGTGGAAGTTTGTTATGTTTCTGTCTTTCGAGGTCAACCATCTGAGCGAAGAAAGAGAGGGAATGTAGTATACTAGGACAGCGGTTGTTTATGTAAAAGTATACATCCGGGAAAGTGTGAGCGCGGGAAGATTATTAAAAGAAACGTGTACTGTGTGTACTGTTGTTGTTCGCCTTCGTGGCTGCCTTTTGTGGCATACTTCTTCACTTTTAGACACTACAACTACCTGATCATTGTTGACTATTTCTCAAATTTCTGGGAAATCGACCACCTTCCTAACACAACAGTCATCACTGTCATAAAGAAGCTGAAATGCCACTTCGCGAGTCAAGGCATACCAGACATCGTCATGAGTGACAATGGCCTACAGTTTGCTTGCGAGAAATTCAGTAACTTTGCCAACGATTGGGGTTTTGAGCACCGACCAGGAAGTCCTGGACACCAACAGACAAATGGCAAGGCAGAAGCAGCTGTCAAAGGGGCGAAACGACTTCTGCGAAAGGCCAAAGACACCAAAGGTGACCTTTACCTTGCAGTACTGGCGCATAGAAACACCCCTACTGAGTCAATGGGGACCAGTCCTGCCCAACGGTTACTTGGCCGGCGTTGTAAGACACAACTCCCGACAACCAAAGAGCTACTAAAGCCGCAGTGTGTACCAGCTGAAACAGTAAAGAGGAAGACGCAGGCAAAGCAGGCGCAGCAAACTCTGTATTACAACAGAGGAACGCGTGACCTTTCCCCCTTAGAAGAAGGAGCTCAGGTCAGGATGAGACCATTCCGACTAAGAAAAAGAGTATGGGAACAGGCCACGGTGGCGAAAAGACATGACGAACGTTCCTATGAAGTCGAGACGGAGAAAGGGACCTAGGAGAAAGGGAACAGGGCAGCCCGTACCACAGAGGTCCCCACAGCGGACACCACCAGTCCAACAAACCTCTGAACAGACGCCATCACACGCTCCAAACAAGAATCAGGAAAAGATTCAAGCTGGGGCCAACAGCACCCAGGAAGCATCGGTCCAGTCCGGGGCCAATCAGCAAGTAGTACACGCTCCTGAAGCACAGCGCCCCAAAAGGACCGTCAGAGAACCTGCCTACCTTAAGGACTACTTGCACTAAGGACTCTGAACATTTGTTAGAAACTGGACTTGACGTTTTGATTAAGGAGCATTGATTATGTTATTGTGGTTATTGTTTTCAAGTTGTCATCCCAAAGGAAGGGGGATGTTACGTGACTAATGTATGCTCGCTTAATTATGTCAGATATGCTAATGTATTCGTTAGAAGTCACATGATCTTGTGTACATGCCATTCGACTAGAGTGCAATAAAAGATTTGAGCACGAAACAACAGATACAACTGAAACAATCACAATTGACCTTTGGGAAGAAAATATTGCAAGGACCAAAATTGAAACTGTCTACCAGATTGCACCAATTCAGGTACACGTTTGGAAAAAAAGCAAAAAAACTCAACCATGCACAGTTCAGCTGTTACACCTGAAACTGATACAACAATCGTTCAGCTTCAAATTCCAGAAGAACAGATGAAGTTTGCAAATGAAACTTTGCCAGTAAGCATACCAAATGTTCACACAATTGAGAAAGTAGAAACATTTGTTCCATGCGTCAACTGTACGAAAAGAATTCTGAAAGGAACTTCAAGTAATGTAGTACACTGTGATTGGCGTGGACACACAATGAAAATTTTTAACTGTCCACAATATGTTTCTGCAAAATTAGTTATACATTTCAATGGTCAATAAATCTAGTTAACTGCCTTTCAGGATGTGCTAAGTAATGTAATTAAGGGAAACTTCCCCGGGTTTTGTGTGGTAGAGACAGCAGAAATGCTGCTACCCTTGGACAATTTAACTGTGGTGTATAATGCAAACTCTTGATTAGTAAAAAAAATGAAAGCAGCCTGTTGTGTTTCCTCCGTAATTCTTTGTTGTACTTTTTAACTTCAAAGTTGGTTATTTGAACTCCTATGCAAAGCTTCTTTCATTCGTATTTACACTACACCCAGTTCCCAGCCACGCAGTTTCAGTATTCGTTACATGCCATGACAATTTCACTGTTGAAGTTACAGTGATCTTTGTTTTGCCATAAATTCATTATGCTCAGTTAAAAGATTTGCAAAAGTCAAGCATTTAATACAATTTTACAATGAAGTCTTGTTACAGTATAGAAAAGTTTTAGAACTTAAAAATTGTCCATTTGAACCTTGCACAAAGCGTACATTAGGCATACTTATGGGAAGTTCTGGTGCGAAAGATTGGTATATCCAACTCATTTTGGTGGCCATTCCAAATTATAGTCAAGTTGCCATATGCTTCCCGTTTAAGGAAAGACTTCCTTTAGTTTTTTGCTTATTCATTGGTACTACAGTACTAATGGTGTTCACCTGTACTACAGTATGAACAGTACATAAGATAACTGTGTCACTAGCATACCAACATACTAGTGCACTAACTCCACTTCTCCAAACATGAATGACCTGTGTCGTTCATGTACCAATGTTTGATTAGAGGATTGCATGTCACTTGCGTACCAACATACTAACTCCACTTCTCCAACTACCATGAATGACCTGCGTCCTTATGTACAAGCGTTCGACCAGAGGACTGCATGTCACCAGTGTACCAACATACTAGCATACTAACTACAATGAATGACTTGCATACCAACGTACTAGGGTTCAATTAAAAGACTGCATGTCTCTTGTGTACCAACGTACTAACTCCACTTTTCCGACAACCATGAATGACCTGCATTCTCATGTACAAGCATTCGATTAGAGGACTGCATGTAACAAGCATACCAACATACTAGTGTACTAACTGCACTTCTCGAACAAGCACTTGCATACCAACATACTAGTGTTCAATTAAACTTGTGTACCAACGTACTAGTATACTAACATCACCTCTCGAATAGAGTACTAAAGTGTGATGTCACGCTTCCATGGCAACCAAATTTTCTGTTCTAAACAAAGTGTGTCAAGCGTAGCATTACAAGCGCGGCTTTCAACTCCTTTTCAGTTTTTCGGCCTTTATTTTCATAGCTTCCTTTATTGAGTGGACTGTAAGTTTTTTGTGTAACTTTTGATGACGTAGACGAAAATTTATTCGTTTGAAAGAAGATCTTAATCGTCAACTGAGCAGACAGAGAGCCGAAGTTAGAGGTGAAAGATCGTGATGGTTCACTGCTTTGTACCGGGCTGTGACCATCATTCCGAATCACATACTTGTAAATTCTATGGGTTTCCACGTAAAATTAAGAAAAAAAGGGGGAGTACCAACGCTGGATTCGATTAATAAGGTAAGGTTAATTTATAGTTTGTCGTAGATTGTGTGTTATCAGTTGCGTGGCGCTTTCGCGGTGTTTTGCTGTTTGGCTTGTGTTTTGAGCTGTGATGTCAAGGACTAATATCTCACAAAGTCTTTGCGATAGTATCTTAAGTAATATCCTTACATTAGTTCTGGTGAAAAGGAAAACAGCTTTGATCAGTCGTTGACTCGCATGATATGCTTGAAAAATTCAGTAGACTATAAATAAATACATTACCATGAGATTCATTCATTCATGCTTTAGTTGGAAACTGTTTACAGTTCATGACGAACGACTGCCTAATGAACCATATGGCAAGTGGCAATGGCAATGTTTATAAAATAAGGGTGCATTTTCTATTTTTGTAATGTATAGTATGTTAACAAAATAATAGAGCATTTGTCTGAAGTCACATACAGTAAAGCCAGCATTTTCAGCTGTAAACAAATGCAACTCTAATCTTAAATCAGGTAATTTAGTGTTAACAACTGGGTTGAAAACGTAAATTAGCCACTGTAAAGGATAAAAAAGCTGACGTTTCGAGTGTTAGCCCTTCGTCAGGGCGATTCAGTAATCGCTCTGACGAAGGGCTAACGCTCGAAACGTCAGCTTTTTTACCCTTTACGGTGGTAACACTAAATTACCTGCTATACTCTCCCACCGACGCAGCACCACAGTTTCTTTAGAAACTTACCCCTTTATTCTAATCTTAAATGTTATAGAAAACACAACATCAAGAATATTTGATAATTCTCAATAAAAATGGGTTTGTTTTCATTACTGAACATGGAAGGTTGCTGTTCTTGTTATTGTTCCAGTATTAAAATTGTCTAACGGGAACATGGTACAAACTTCCTGCTGGTTTTAAACCTCGCAATAATTCTACAAACTATAGTTCTCCCTCAACAATTTTGGGGAAGAGGTGTTTAAAGTAAAATTCCCTGAGCCTGGTAAGGTTTTCTTCCCAGGATGGATCCTTCTTGATTTCATTAACTACACACCTGCGATTTTTCCAAACAACAAAGTAACAGTAATTTCGTTTGGCTAAGTACATTTGCCCTTGCACTTGGTGCCAGTAGACATGATTCCTTTTTAGTGAGTACGATCCATCCTCTTTTTTCTCCAAACAAAATGTGTCACTTTTCAAAGCTTCCTCAATACTTGCATCTTTGAATGTATAGGAACACTTCGCCTCTAGAACATGGTCTTCACCCACTAATCCATCAGGGGAAGCTCCAAGAACGCCTGACTCGTCAAGCCACACCCCCGTCTCAACAACTTCAAGATGAGTTTTGGCAGTAAATGTTTTGATGGCTTCAGCCTCATTTGTGACTCCCCATGCCACAGCTTTGACACGTGAGATGTCATATTCCCCCAAGAGACGCTTAATAGGGGATGGGGTAACCCTCTTAGCATTGATGAGAGAGCCAAAATTGCTTGCAGTCAAGCGCCTCTTCCTCACTAAATGCCAGGAGGGATTGTTTCTCTGACTGACAGTTAAAGAGCTGATCTGATTTACAATTTCTCTCTCAACCTTTAATTTTCGTCTGATAAACTAGTTATTCAACAGCAGTAGATAGAGTGAGAAATTCCTCAGAAAAAATTAGCTCTTCCACTGTTGAGACAGGCAGATCCCCCAGTTGTTTTGGCTCTGGGCTTAACAGCCAGCATAGGCCAGTGAACTTTCCATACGCTCGCAATTCTGAATACAGCGCTTCTTGATCGCCTTGATTTGGTTGTCGGAGTAAGGCTGTATATCCTGGCTTGGTTGGAGGAAACATTTCAGAAATAGATTTCCGAGAAATATCAGGTGCATTCCGTTTTTTCCATGAACACTCAACATCAGTCCGACTCAAGTTATAAATTCCATAGATGAACAGAGCTGCAGCATTGCTACATTTATAAGCTCTCCGTGGACACTCGCACTCGCTCGATTTAATCGCATTGTTTTGGTCAAGGTATATCTAAAAAGAAAATTATAATAAACAAAGTTTAACAGTATTTTTCTATAAGCTTTCATTTCAATGGTGGTCATTTACCGCATTTCACTTACCGTCACATTATACACTTTTTTCATACTAGCGTCAACCTGGCCCTTCAAAAAACCTTGACTTGCACTAAAGCTTTCCACATGGTTAGATTTGAAGTGATTTTCACCTCGTGAAACGGATTTATTCTCATTTTCGAAGAAAGAAAGTAGAGATGCAATTGTCAGCACCGCCATCTTGTTTCACGAGCGTTTGTTTAGAACAGGAAATTTGGTTGCCATGGAAGCGTGACGTAACTCTTTCGTACTCTATTGGCACAAATGACTTGCATACTAACGTATTACTGTTCTTTTAAAGGACTGGAACCTAGCAGACTCGTGTAAGGCAGTCTGGTACAAAATAAATGGTGCACGGTGTAATAAGGTACTAAGTTGACCCTTTTTTTTAATGTGGCATTGCGGTGAAGAACAAATCGCATTGTGGTGTTGCTTAAATCAATGGTTTATTAGTGAAATAAACCATTTCTGAGTTGCAGTCTATTCTCTAACC